TAGGAAGTATAGGTTTTAGAGAGAAAAAAATGTTTTGACGTTGACTCTTGCTACATCGCATCAACTGCCATTTTCTATCCTCATTCCTTTTTCGTGCGTGGCAACAAGCACACCTCCACATCTCCGTTAAAATGTCAAAGCGAACAAACTTAGAAAAAATCGAATACTATAAAAGTAAACTGAAATACTTGGAAAATACAGTCTAAAGAAGTGACAAAATACCTAAGAATTTACTGCTCTGACATCGGCTTGTCCACAGCATCGAAAGTGTTTGCCAAAATCATGAAAGAAGTTGTAACACATTTGAGACAACAACGATTTAAGTCCGTGGTATATTTAGATTATGTTTGTTGTATAGCAGCTGATTATGACGATGCATCAATAATGTTAATGCAACCATTAACTTATTGCAATGTTTAGGCTTCATCGTTAATTATGGCAAGTCTGTGTTACAACCATGTCAAGTTTGTAAATTTAAGATTCATGAACTTTAAGTATAAATTTTCCTTTAGAAAAACGTCAAAAATATTTACCATTTATTTTAAAAAGTAATGAGGTTACCCCGATGTGCCATACGGGTGTACGCTCAATTGGTTAGTGTCCTCATCTCAGCTTGCCCAGCCACTAAATAGGGTTGGTTATATAGAAAATTACTGGAAACTTAGAAATTTCTAAGACTTCAAAAACATGACGGTAACTATGAAACAACAATTTATCTTCCAGATATAATTCTAAGCGGTTTGAGTTGGTGGACAGACAATATTTACCCGACTTCATCGCATATGACAACCTCAAGTTTTAAATTAGAAATTATACAAATGCACCGCGCACCGGTTTGGATTCCGTATATGGCGCGAGTAGCACAGGAGGCCAACGGAAGGCTGTTGAGAAGAAGCACCATATCAATTACTAAAAATTGCAGTATTCTTATATTATATTAGTATAATCTGATTGTGTTATATTGTTGCGAGTACGCAATACTACGGCGATCAGTTACATAAATCGCAAGGGTGGGATCCAATACCCCCACCTTAACGATTTAAGTAAACCAATTTGGCAATGGTGCGAAAAGCGCAACATCATTTTGTATGCATATGTGCATATTATGTATATACAAAAGATAATCGCGCCGATATAGAATCTAGGAAGATTAACCCCGACACCGAGTGGGAGTTGTCCTCTCGCGCCTTCCAGACCATTGTCAGACGTTTCGGGCAACCCGAGATTGATCTTTTTGCATCCCGCACCAATGCCAAATCCGCTATATTTGTCTCTCGGTTTCAGGAACTAGAAGCATTTATCGTAGATATTTTATCGCCTTTACACTTAATCGGAATTCTAATTTTTTTCTACAATTTTCCACCCTCTTTTTATTATTGAAATGCATACGCAAAATTATTGATGACCAAGCAAATGTGTACTCTTGATTTTCCATATTGGCCTTCCCAGATATGATTCCTCCTGCTGCAAAGCCTGTCGGTTTCCGACGTGATATATTTTAACTCAAGCGAATCATTATTCAATCTTATTGCAGGCGGCATCATCGACCAGCCTTACCCTTTCTGCCGTTATCAGCGCACCCTTAGCCTCCCGCGGAGTCCCACAAGAGGCGATGACATTATCCTTAGCTTCTCTTTCTTAAAATACAATTAGACAATATAATGTGTCCCTAAAGCTCTGGTGGGAATTTTGCAATAATAACTGTGTGCTTTATCTCTTTTATAGTCTGAAACAGGCTCAGACATAAAAAGATTACTTAAGGGCGCATTTAGATTGAAACCCAGTGCACCAAAGTATAGCAATACTTGGAATCCCCAAGTCGTTCTCGCATTAGTTTCAACGTGGTTTCCCGACACAGAATTTCCTCTTGAAAAACTTACGACATTCTATTTTACTTGCACTTTGTACTACACACCGCGTACAAACTGGCATTGATTAAAATGAAAAACATGCAAATATCAGATATTCCGATTAAAATTGCAATACCTGATTTAATCGAAACGTCTGCGCCTGGTCGCGTACAGGCCACAATAAATTTTCCATATTTTAGAGAGGATCCGAGTATTTGCCTTGTCGCAGTTTTCAAACATTATATTTTGGTAACAGAAAATAAGACAACTGGACGTCAGGGAACGCTCTTGCTGACACATAAAGCTCCCCACAGAGTAGCCACGAGTCAGACCGTGAGCCGATGTGTAAAGCAGGTGTCGGATGCGGCGCGGCGGCAGCAATTTTCGGCGCGCATAGCACGCGGTACGCCTCCACGCCGCCGGCGCCGGCGCGCGCGCGTCCTGAGGTGCCGATAGAGCTCATACGCAAGGCTGCGAGTTGGATTCCGACATCTCACATTTTACTTTATTTTATTTTACTAGATTTTATAATAGATTAATACTTACTGAAGAGGAACATACTTTCGCAAGAACCATTTGCTTACAACATAATAAAACGGAAAATTATACTATTCTAAATTAATAATAATAATAATCTTTATTTATAAAATTATTATATGATTGTGCGATTTAAAAATTGTTACGATTGTGATCTCAGGAGAAAAACCGTTATACGTTCACGTACAAAAAAACTGTTCTGTATAATAGATGATCAAACGAACTTCTTGAAGTGAAGTTCGATTACTATTATGCGAGTCGCTTCATTCGAAGATATAATCAACACTCTACCTTCCTTGACATCGCCGTATCAGAAGTAAAGATTCTGAAACTCCCAAATAAGTTTTGCTTCCCAGTCTAAAAGGAATGAGGATAGAAAATGGCGGTTGATGCCTGGTAAAAACCTGGTAAAAACCGTGCGGTGTTGCCTAGCAAGTTAAGGAAACTACCTGGTTAAATATTATCCGCTCACGCGATGCGCTCCTTCTACCGCAAAATGGCGGCTATTTGGTTTCGCAAATTAGAAAAGCATTCAGTTTAAATACATGTTTTTATAAATAAAAATTATTACTCTCCATTGCTAAATAAATACCCTCCGTACTACCAACAAAAACATCTCAAATAAAATGCAGTAATACACCGCAAATCCTGCACTTAAAAAGCACTAATGAAATTTTTGGTGTACTTGGATAAATATGATAATATTCCATTTGAGTGGTTCTAACGTTTACCATGAAATTACTCCTTAAAGTATAGTTTATAAACATTTATATTCAGGGTAAACCACCAGCCCAAACAATAACACACATGATTAAAAACTTTATGGTTTGCTAGAGTAGTTACCGAAATAGCAATTAGTATTAGTTCTTTTACCTGTTATAACTTCGATATCCGATAAATCGGTATAAAATTATCACCGGCACCTCTAGGTGTGGTATGCGTCTACGGCTGCATGTATCGCGTGAGCGGATATATCTTCAAATGAAGCGACTCCATAATAGTGATCGAACTTCACTTCAAGAAGTTCGTTTGATCATCTAGTATACAGAACAGTTTTTTTGTACGTCGCGTACGTATTACTATTTCTTCTCTAATCAAAAAGATGTGATCATAGTGAACTCCATTACATCAAACTCCAGAGGTTAAAGTTTCGTTAGCTACATCTTCGATTAATACCAGTTACCCCTGTTTTTTTCCATGATATCAACCAAGTCGCGTGGCTGGTGTTACACGACACGCCTATTTCATTATAGTTACAGCGTCACTTAGAGCATTATTCGCCACCTCGCCCCTCATCCTAAAAAATAAATAACAAGTCCCATGAGCCTAAAAATTTACCAGTGCCCTTACCATTTAAAACCGGAACGCAGTATTTCTCTGGACAAATTCTTTTAGCACTTCGCACATAAAATCAAATAACGATGTAATAGTTAAAAAAAATTACTGAATAAAAGCAATAAATTTATATTGTCGTTTAATGTATTTGTAAATATTACGTTTAATTAAAAATAATCACAATATTGTTCGCAATAAGATCAATTCAGTATTTCTTTTTATATTTTCATATCGTGTTTTCTTTATACCGCAATTTGTTACATAATAAACAGTAATTTAATTAGCACTAGCTAGTAATTACTGTCGTCACTAGATAGCGTTGTATTGTGAATAGTAATATTGGTGAGAAATAGATGGCGCTATTTATAATTGATCGTGTTATGGCAAAAAACGATAAAATAATTATAAAATGGCAACAATAATTCAATTAGTTAAGAGGAAGGGTTGTGTATTGACTCTGGGCATTTTGGAGGGAAAAGTGTCGTTTTTATTTTGACTTTCAATTATTTTGTGAAATCTGGTTTAAAGTGGAATAGGATAGTGCTATTGTACCTTAATCGAAGATTAAAACGCGAAATTATACGAATCTCGAACTAAAATACCCAATCGGCCCGTTCTAAGGAATCCCGAGTCAATCCAAACACGCCGTCTCAAATTGCCTATCCTCTTTGTGGCGGCCATATTTACAGAAACAATTAAACTTCATGTTTAGGCTGATGGCTTTGCCAAAGCCTTAATAAATTAAAAAAAAAAGAAGGGTTGTTTCGGTTGTCTGTAGAAGACGTATTCTGCCTTTGCCTATTTAGTCTATAGTGAAATAATATTTTATTATAAATAATAGTATATTATTTATGCCAATCATAGCATAATGAGGTTTCATAAAGTCTAAGTAATAGGTACGAGATTTTAAGACCTAATTTTATTATACTTAATTGTAGTTCTGTACACAGATGTTTTTAGTTCAGTAGCGAATACTATACATAATAGAATTTTGGTTCAGAACTAAAAAGAGCGCCTTTGTGAATATGGTTTATGAAATTATATTGAACAGATTAAAGTACACGAGTAGAAAAAGTAATTTAACTTAAGCGATTTTGTCTCCTTTTAACAGTTTACCGTTTTATAAAATGGACAGAAGAATTGTTATAAATAAAACAAAACAGATCGAGTGCATGAATGTTTAATTTGTACGTCCCCGAAAGTCACAAACGTTCTTTCGTAACTGGCTAACTTAATTAGGTTATATACAAAAAGCTCCACTGAGTATGTGCTGTGACTAATTTTACTACCATGAGTATATAAGGATATACATAAACATCAGTTTATATATTGAGCAAATACATAGGAATGCTGTTCATTATAGAGTATATTTTTTCTAATAAAAATATGTTAACTAAAATGTCTATTACAAGTTTGTATGGAAATGCATGAACATTTTATGTCGTTTTTACCGACTGTATTTGTATTTTGGTCCCTAGATATTGAACATAAATTCGATGTATTTAATACATAACTTAAGCTAATAAATACCCATTATAATAGTGATTATGCAATCTTTGACTTCAAGATCAAAAGGTTAAATAGAAACATTATTTAAAAATACAAATTATTACAAAAATTCGCTCACAATGCACCCGAAACTAATGCTTTAACTCGCAAACAACACGCTGATCAAAGAATTCTACTAAACTCAAAATAAATTATAATCAGAATATACAAAAAAAATATACAATGTTTCATAAAAATGGAATGTTGCAACACCGGGCTGGTTCCACTCAAAATCCACTAACTACATTTATATAGAATACTTATCATTACAAAATAATTTATTTATTTACAATACAATTTGTACAACCATCAACCGGGTTTACCAATAACACATTAACTAGTATGCTACTTAATTTACGTATTTGGATAGACTCTATAAATTCAAAAACAAATTCACAAACTATTCCGGAATGTATCATTGTCCTACTTAATTTAAAATCACAATCCGATTTACTGGCCTTGACAGGTTCACTGATCATTTGATAGAGTTTTTAAACGGCACTAAGATTTAGCAACGTCTGTAGTGACGTCACACTTTGGTCGTGAGGTCGAGAGGATGGAGCTTGATCCTCTTTATTTGTGAATATGATAAGTCCTCATCTTCACTGGCCGATCCTGCACCGCTATTAGACTCCGCTTCATCGTTATCCGGTACTATAATTTCACTGTCATCCGACCTTCGTCTTGCAGAGCTGGATCTGCCATCTGACTTAACGGACAAGTCCATCGGGTTTTCCTGCAATGGAGATTCAGAAGTCCTCCTTTCAGCTGGAGGCGTAGGCACAAATTCCGCCTCAGATACTATATCTTCTTGAGGCGTTGGTTGCAAAGACCGTTGTTGCTTCAGAATTTCGTCCAAGAAGAATCGCTTCGATGAGTCCGCGTTATGGTCATCAATTCTTACATCATTATTGTTTTCGGCTGCTTGCCTCAATGCAGCGTGGTCGAGGAGATGCCGTGAGTAAATCGGGTGAAACCCAGGAGGGAACAGCAGCGGATGATTGGGAGCAAACGGGCTAAATGGCGGAGGCGGTAAAAACGGCGAATGCGGGAAATGGGGCAAGGAGATGTTGGCTAGAGGAAGAGGAACAAAGGCGTCTCTTGGTGGTGTTAGAGGCTTGTCTGGAGGTCTAGACTGAATTCGCTTATCATCTAATTTAGGAGAAGATCCACTCCGATGAGAGTCTGGACTACCTGACGGTTTGTACTCATCGAGACCTAGAAGCGCTAATTCTTCTTTTGTTCTCGGTCTAGTTAGACCAGGGAATAGGTGAGGTGGAAAAGGAGGCGCTAACGGATGCGAAGACGGAGGGCCCCTAGGGGGCGAATGTGACTGGGCAGCTTGTTGTTGCTCTTGGAGAAGACAGTGGATCTTAAACCAGTTAGAGCGACGGCCGTATCGGGAACCAGACTTGGACATGCCCACCATGAGGCACTTGCGAAGGCGACATGCCTTGCAGGCTGTGCGGTTCTTTTTATTGATGACGCACTCCCCGTTGTTTTTGCATTCCGTGATGGAATTCAGGTTGTTGTAGGATCGCCCGAAGAACGACTGGAAAGGAAAAGAAAATTTAACGTTATTATAAATATGTAAGCATGATATAGGACATACAAATCTATTCAAAATGTGTCAAAAGTGTCACTTTAAAGAGTCAATGTAACCTACAATAACATTGATGACATTCATATAATTGACAATGCAAGGTTTTTGCGCTTGTTGCGTCATCACGTTCACCAAATTGATTACGTGCAATTTGCCGAGTACAAGAAAATAGATGAGTTGTAAAATAAGAGTTACCTACGTACATTGCGAATGAAGTAATGTAAAAGACGTCTTCGATTCCATTTGAAATGTTGTTTAATTGGTACAATAACCTGCCTACGTAAAATGTTGTACTGAGCATTGACCATGAAGAGCAAACAGTTAATCCAAGTCTAAACATCCCACGCTTTGACGTAACCCCATCTATCACTCTCTACACAACAGACCTAAAAGCTCGTTTACACGGGCTACTGGCCGCCAACCGAGCGAGTAGCCCCGATAGTGAAACACTTACGTTCACGGTTACCAGTCTTAAGTCGTCACTTCCGGTGGAAATAGGTCGCAGGTTTTGTTCCGGTCTGGTGCCCGTTTGAGTACGGTTTTGTTCATCGGCCTTGAAATTTATGTAATACGAGCATTGTCTTTAAAGTTCGCTTTTTCTATTTGCAATTTGTTAGGAAATTATCGTGTTTTGTAAGTTATTGGTTAAATCGGGTAAGTGAGAAATGATCCATTGATTTGTGGTCGCCATGCGCCTGCGGCTTGTGTGGTTGGTTATAAATTAGACGGCTTTGGTGTCGTACTCTTCTAGATGCCAATGGTTTGAGGTTTACGTTAAGATGAAGGATGAGAAAACGTTTCGTAGAGAATACTTTATGGTTCTGCGCCGAGTTTAGTGCTATAAATCAATGACATATGCTACATAATAATATGAAATATATATTCACTGGAAGTGTTTGCACAAATATTACAGTTTAGTTACTTGCATCCACTAAATATACACTTTTCTTTGAAATCATAGAATTATTGTATTAAATTTTGTTCTATATTTATTATGTGTTGTAACTATAAACTGCCTTACAAAATGAGTAGGTATATCTGGAAGAATTGTTTTTGCATTTTCTTTTTAATCATTTCGTGATTTGAAAGGGAGGTATTGCCCACTCTATGTTTATGTGTAACTATATAAAGTACAATATTATCAAATATATATGTTTATGTATATATATTACGTAACCTGCTAATGCAAAAACTAAACTTCTCGACACGAATAAGTTGCCAAAATACTTGCAAAACGGGGCATGGCGCGAATGGCAATGATTTACACGCTTACAAAGTTATCTTCGCAGTTGAACTAAGATTTGAAATTAACATCTCGTAAACAAACGACGATTTGTAACGCTCCATAATAAAGTCTATTGACTGTAAATATAAATTGGTAGTAATAGTAGCGACCCATCGCGTCATACAGAATTTGGATACAATGCTTACGTGACATGAATTAAAGTGTGATGATTAGTGGAGAACTAAATCAGTTGCTTAATTTTGCTGCAGAAAGAAGCAATTACAAATATAGGATTGTATTGGGACGTGTTCGAGCACAATGTATGATGTAAGAAATAGCGAGGCTACGCTGCCTTTGACACGTGGAAAGAATGGGAGAGGATCGTGCTGCTTCGAGAGAACGATCGACCATATTACATATTGGAGCGGTGCATATAAAACCACCCCGATAAATCTAGAAAGAGAGCAGAGAGGTATGTTTGTTGCTTCAACTGTACCAAGTACCAATCCGGTCGTGCATGGAGAACTGCTGCCATCTTTGGGATGGCACTGCTACATGCCAACTGGCCACCTTGAATTCAATTGACAAGCATGCCAAGGGGCTTATAGGTGACTCGGAATTAGTAGTATCGGTATTTTACAGGAAATATCGCGGAGATGATTTAATTCCGCCTTTTCCATTCTATCACTAGACATAGGCTTGGGTTCCACCCCTATGTTGTGGATATCCAAAAGATTCGCACGAAGCGTTACGCTTCCACATTCATATGGCAAATGGCTATGGAGTGGAATTCCTTGCCTGCAGACTTATACCCTGAACGTTATAACTTGGACCTTTTCAAGGTGAGAGTGATAAGGCATTGCACAATTGTACTGTGCAACCTTTGTCCGACGCAAGATAATAATGTGTATAACTGTTATGGGTAAAATAAGCCCGACGCGTTCGTCAGTCGAAAGTCTCCACCACAGATCATCCGTGGTATCCACCCTATCATTTCTGACAGGGGTAGATTTATAACAGGGGTATGTCAATATTGTAATTATCAAACATTGGAACAGATAGACTATATATTTTTGCAACAGAATATTAATTCGACAATGTAAAGTTGTGTGGTATTCTTAAATTACATTTAAACGTAGATTTAGAGTTTCCAATGCTTTGTTTAAATAAAATAGTATTTTTCTCGGCTATAATGTTCATTGTAGTAAATCTTAAATACTTTCTAAAAAGTTTTCCGATTCCCTATTGCCTATTAAATAACAGACGGCGTACGTATGGTTTATTCCATATTGAGCTCAAACCGTAAGGTATACTAACAAACGTGTGTTTGTCCATAAATCGTTAGGCAACGCAGGTGATGTTCTCACCTTTAACCTGACCTCCCTCACCGTTCTGATGGAGCTAGCGACAATTAGGAATAGGAGTGAGAAACTTGCGCTCAATTTATACAAGCGTATTCCAGACAATCGAAATGTGATCCCATTTTGGAGAATGTAGTGTCTACACCATTTTGGAGAATGTGGTGTGGTGTACAGGGATGGCTAAACAACATAAGGTAAGTCTGGTGTTAACGTGCGCATGTGACACTTCCATTCAACCCTATATCTAGCTGCAGCCTGCCCGCTTCCGACATAATAACGCTCTTTTATTCTCTATACACAACAGAGACTAAGTAATAAAAGTCAATGTCGTTCAGTGAACGCTGTCTAATAACCAATATCGTCGCCTTCCTTTCTCGAACTCGTATCTTAAATCACAAAGTTACTCAAATGCAAAAAATGAATATTATATACAAATTTTAATAAAACTGGCTTCTATTTATTCTTAAAGTAATGCATCCAAATTAAAACCCTTGATAAGAAATTTAAAATAAATAAAAAGTTTTGCCGTCTCCTGAACAATCACTCTTTATAAGATCCGAGCTTGAGAAAGTAAAGCATCGATCGTAAGGTTCGAATACTGAAAACTTAATTTAATTTAATAAATAAATAAAGTTTTACCCCTTTTAATTAAAATTCACACAATTAAAAAACAAAAATATAAAGACTTTATTCTTTACTATTTTCTAACACTACAACGATACATAAAAAACTTAAAATAGCTTAAAATAAATGGCTGTACTGAAGAAAAGGTAGCATCTATTTTCAATAATTTAACATTCCCGTAGCAATTTACTTCCATTTGTATTACTTATTAATACAGTTTACTATTATAATTTTAGTAGTTAAAATATAATTATAGGAAAAATAATGATTTATTTATATAAAGAAGCTTTAACCACAAAACTTTGGTTTAATTAGATGAACAGGATACCTAACGTACCGGCGCGCGGCGTGGAACACTATTTTTCTGGTTGTGGCAGCCTTTATTGAAGTCAATGTAGCTATTAATATATTTTAAATAATCTATACGAGATGGACAGATGAAGTGGAGGAAGACCTCCGCGCACTGCACGCAGAGACCTGGGAGACCACATAAGACGAATGCACCCTGCACTGGCGCCAACTTGTATCGGAGGCCAATGCACACTTCGGGTAGCTGAGCCAGCGGAGTAAGTATCTAACTATATCTGACATAAACTTAGGAGTCTCCAAATTCATGTTTTTGTTGTCCTATAAATAGTAACTCACGTTATAACGTAGTCTATTCTTTACCCTATTGCAACTTACAGAGGCAATGGTTTCCTAATCATGTTTGTACTGGCACTGGTTTTGTTATTATCTTCTGTTATACCATATTTCAGGTTAATAAACGAATTATTATTTTGTTTATCTATTTCATTCTGATTATTTTCGCCTTTCCCGTGACCTTAAAGATATATTTTGGATTTATGATTGTCAAAGGCAGTATTCCTCGGCAACGACACTGTTGGCCGGGTTTAGAGGTGTTCAGTTTCAAGAACCAGGCGAATGATACGTGTCGTATCGAGCAGTAGCGCTTTCTGAGGAGTCTTAGTAGAATTAACCCGTTTACGGACAAAACGATTGCGACTATTTCAACCACAATCCATATGTCGGTGATCTCACTCATCAGATCGAGACTCATTGGGAGGGACAGCGGGGCGGACTAAGAATTTGGACGTATAAATTTGTTAATGAATCGTCATCACCATTAAAACGTTCCCCAGTAAAGTTGTAAATATGGGCTTACGATTCTTTACTTTAGCATGGGTCCTATACATTGTATGTTATAGTCCAAGCAGAATCATTTGTGCTGTCTATTTTGTATAAATACGGTTTATACAAACTCCTAGATGTAAAGTATGTTCAAAGCAGCGCGCGTTGTTCACCTGTGACCTCTTCCAACCGTTCGATATGTGGCGGAGTCTAAGCAAAGTTTTACAACTCTGACGCCATCACGGCGTATATTTTTAATAACCATACTTTCTGTCACTATTTACTATAATAATGTATCGGTAGGCGATTCTGCTGCAGTGAATAGAATAATAAACATTGGTGGTTCAGCGAAAGAACATTTGCATCTCAAGGGTTCGAATCTTACATATATATTCAATAGATCATTATTAGACACGAACAAAGAATAATATATCGAAGTTATCAGACATACATGCATATAATACTAGAAGACATAGATAAGTAATAACTAAACTCAGTTTAGTAAAAAAACGTTTAAGAGGCGATAATACTATGTCAGCTCGAATTTAATTTTTTCCCATACAAATACAGTTCATTTCGTTTGGGTCAAGCGGCAGGGTCACTGGCTT